GGATAACATAACAGACGCTACGAAGGCGATTAAAAAATCACGACTACCTCGGTCTACTGGGAAGAGTAGTACTAAAACCCTTCACTATCTCCTTCTTCACCTTTACGCCTCCTCCTCTCCGAAACTCTCCGAAACAAAACTTAGGTAAGAATTAAATTAGGCTTCTTGTGGAATCATCTATGAGCGAGATTTTGTAATGATGATCGCGTCTTTACGATATTAAATTTGCCAATTCCATCCATTTTCATATCAATGCGACAACGCAGCCCAGGACGTCTGGGTTTTTTGGTTTCTGTGAATCAAACGATAAAATAAACTTAGCATAATTTTGACTACTGCACATTTCATCATACGGATGTCCTAATCCAGACGTCTTGGACTGTGTTGATCGCTTGATTATGATGAAATAAAATAAATAATAATCTACTTGCATTATAATGAAGTAGAGAGAATAAGAGAAAAATATCAAATGCCCATGGCAGGATTCGAACCCACGTCTTCGGTATTCTAGTCCGATGTGTTAACCACTACACTACAAGGACCAACCACGCTGGAAACGCAGCCGGAATATGAAATGTAGGGTATTCGTGAGGATCCCAGATCCCAGAAAAAATATCGCTCTGGGATCCTCCCCTACATTTCATATTCCGGCTGCGTTACCAGCGTGGTTGGTCCTTGTAGTGAAGTGGTTAACACATCGGACTAGAATACCGAAGACGTGGGTTCGAATCCGGCCAAGGGTATTTGATATTTTTCTCTTATTCTCTCTACTTCATTATATATACACACCGAACGCATAATTTATTACTACTATACTTGCATTATAGTTTGATCAAGAAGAGGTGTCACTAGACACACGTTCTTCGTTAAGTCAACGTAAACAAGAGATGCTTGTCCTTTCCGAGGAGATCTTCACCAGAGCTCTTGGAATGGATGACAGTGAAGCTTGGCTTCATCACTACATGTTGGGCAAGATTGCTGAGAAGCTTAGGAAGTCCCCTGAGATATATCTAGAACATTACGAAAAGGTGTTAACAAAAAGCTGTTTCAATAATGAACTGTAAAAACTCAGGAATCCCCCCCCCCCCCCCCCCCCCCCCCCCCCCCCCCTCTCTTATTCTTTTATTAGNCCCCCCCCTTCCCTCTCTCCCTCTCTCTTATTCTTTTATTAGGGCCTCTCCCCCTGGGTACCAACCTATCAGTATTCTTCCCTGATTCATATTTCCACGCATTCGCTTTTTCAATCACACCTTCAAATAGAGTAAAACCCACATAAAAGGACCACTATTTTCCTTAGTATGGCTGTAATGGTTCATATATATTTGGTACCTTGTGAGCAATCATTTTTCACATAAAAACCTGTCTCGTTTGTCAGGCTGAATTGCTTCTTTTTTTTGGTGCTTTATTTGCTAAATGTTTCAGCCTTGGTGGTTCTTAATCCACTGTTGTTTTTTATGCAGGTTTTACTGTATTACATTGATTTCCTTTTTCTATTTCCTCCCTCTCTTCCTCACTTATATCTTTCCATACATCCATCTGTCTATTTATTTTTTTATTACAGTCAATTACTTTTTCCTTCTTAGTCGTCAAGGCATTTAGATGAAGACATTGCCAATTATCCAAGGAAGATTCCTTTTTACAGTCCACCTGATCACGTGCTAGAGGCGTTGGAGGTATTTCAACATTGTTGGTGTATCTACTAGTTGTTGCAATATACCAAAGTATAGTTGCTAATTTTTTAAAAAAAAAAGAATTATGAGCGATATATAAAATTTTTGGGGAAAATATTGAATGAGCATAGGAAATCGCACGACCTTGAGTATAATTCGTAATTAATTAGTACGTGTAATATTTTTGTTTATTTGAAATGAAAAAATTAATACGTCCTTTCCATCATTTTTTTTTTTACCTTTAAGTTGTCGCTGTTAGCCGTGTGCGCGCGTGTTTCCCACAGCGAGTAATAGGTTCTCTCAGGGAGTACAAATAATGTTTATGTGTACTGCTGCCAACCAGTCGGGGTCGAGTGATATGGTTTAGTGTACAACATGATACATAATAGAGCAGGTGGATGTTACGTCATTACCGCCATCTTGGTTAATTTTTTTCTCAGTGAGTTTTTTCTTCATTAGGTATATTACCGTGTACATGTTTCAGTTCTGAAACTACTTCTCAACGAGTTTCCGGACGTAAACAAGGAGATACTTGAGAAGTATCTACAGCGAGCTGCCAAAGGTCCTTTCTTTAGCCATGAGTATGATATAGATGGAGGTCATTCTATTGCCTTCCGATCCGAGTCGACTGCTTCCGGTAAGTCATATAACCTCGTACTAGGCAATTATTTCCTTCTGCATGTAGCAATATATTTCTTTAACATATATATTCTTAATTACAAATACCATAATCATCATCACCACCAACACCAGTATCATCATCACCATCATCACTATCACCACTATCAACCTCATCATCACCACCACCACCAGTATCATCATCACCACCACCACCATCAGTATTATCATCACCATCACCAGTATCAACCTCATCAACACCACCACCAGTATCATCATCATAATCACAACACCAGATCATCATCATCACCACCACCACCACCAGTATCATCGTAATCACATCACCAGATTATCATCATCACCACCGATATCATCAATAGAGAGCTTTAGCATCAGGATTAGCGTTGACCACTAACCGCTAGAAAGCAACCTCAGAATTACGCCCGTAAACATGGAGAAACACTCAGTATCAATGTAATTCAGTATGGCGGCTGTTGCAGCAGCGACTTGGTTATGACGCCTTGCTGTGTTTCGAAAGTTTGACAGAAAACGCCTAACGCCGAGCTGCAGTTTAAGGTTTGCGTTACCTTGCAAGAACGTCGTGCTTTAGGTCTCTGCTATCCTAATCACTACCGTTATCATCATTATCGTCAACATCATTATGACCATGATAATCGGTATCATCGTGTTCATTATCATATTCATCCTCAACGGTTTCATCAACAGCACCAACATAAGCGTCATCATCATCATCTTCGTTATTATTTATCGTCATTATTATCATCTTAACCTTCAAAAGTACTTGAGTTTGTTTACGGACATTCGTTTAATGTTATACTTTTTTATTATATATTTTCTTATTCTTTTTTTTTTTCATTTCCTTCAGAAACCAATGCCATAGAACCGGATAAAGGAGTTTTTGAATTGTCCTCCGAATTCCTTGCTTCAACTAAAATAGACACTTCAACTGCTCCCGTAAGTCAATCAACTGTACCTACAGCAATGCAGGTCTCATTTGACGTAAAACAAGACGTTAGGGCGGAAAAATCTGGCCTAGCACAAGCAGCTTCGAAAGATAACGATGATGTTGTGAGCGACAGCCAGTTACAAGGACAAGTACAAAAAGACAAAGATGGGTTGGAAGAACCTAGAGAAGTGACGCCTGCAATGGAGATGACAGAAGAAAAAAGTGCAGCAGTTACTAGCAAATTGTTACAGGAGCAACCGCCCCATGATGAGAAACTTAAAAAAGAACCAAGCAAAGATGTCAAAGAAAATATTCCAAGTTCTTTAATAACAGAACCCATAGAATCTACGTTACGCAAACCGCAAGAATCTGTAATAGAGGATGACAATGGTAATGTTACGAAAGATAAGAGTGTATCTAATAATCCTTTTGCAGATGCTCTTACCAAAGAATCAAAGAATGAAGAAGTTGGGAAAAGTGGTAGTGTCAGTGAGTCGATTAAACAGGAGGAAGAAATAGAAGAAAAGATGGAAGTGGAAGAAAAAGAAGCATTACTGGTTGCAAGTAACGTTGCTAAGCAACCAGACGATACCAACGGTTTGAAAGGAACCGAGACTGAAGTGGCTCAGCCGGTAAAATCAAATGTTTCTCAACAAATTTCTAAAGACGACACACCTGGATCTAAGCCGGACTCTCACATTTTAGAAGTCGTTGAAGGGATGTCTGGAATAGAGGACACAGAAACTTGTAAATCCAAGTCGTTGTCATCTTACGATAAACCAAACACGCAAAAAGAAGTTGCGGTAGACGTTCCTGCGAGGACCCCTGTATTGCTGAAGGGTACATCAGAAATATCAAAAGAACACGCTTATGCACAGGATTTTGAAATGGCAAACCCAACATGTACACCAGAGAATTCAAAAGAGTTATCGATGCAAGACGTTAAGGATTTTGATCGTGTTAAGCAGATTGGCCAGGAAGATATTTCGAAAGATTTGCTCAAAGTAAAATCAAGCAAAGAAGAAATGGAGTCTGTGGATTCGTCTAAGTTTTATCCAGGGGAGACTGAAATGCACGAAATGGGCGTGCCAATGGATACAAAGAAAATTACTGACGAGCAAGACGAGGAAATGGAAAACACAAAGGTTACAAAAAGGCCTGAATTATCAACAAATATATCAGACACTGTTGAAAAGCTATCACCAGCTATTCCAATGGATATTTCTCAATCACAACCTGAAAAGGAAGGCTTGAAGAAGATTCATCCGAAGGATACAACATTAATGTCTAATGAAACGATACACGAGTCTGGCGTAGGGAAAGAAGCTTTGGAGGACACGAGAGAAATTTCTGCAAGTGCTGAAGAAGACAAAGTTGGCGAATCAAAGGATATTTTAAGAAGTCAATCCAAGGATAAAGAGTCGGTGACAGCTCCTAAAGAATCGCGTGAAGAAACCCCTCTTGTTTCGAATGGCAGCAACAGCAAACGTTTTGAAAATGACTCTCAAATAAGAAATGTGGGTAAGGAATCTAAGACAGACAAAGAAGAGAGCTTGGTAACCAATCAATGCATTCCTGCGCAAAGCATAGTCAAGGACAAGAAACCGCTGACCGATGAGCAAAAAATTGTTCAGCGTGAATTGATCGATGTTTGCATTCATGGACTGGAGCACTGTCTCCTTCGTTTCCCTCAGCATCACAAGTGTCGATACAGACTAGCGAATGTGTATTATGTATCCCCATATCACAAGGTTAGTTTCTAGCTGACTCAGTTGTAAAAGTGCTCACTGCGCGAGTTAAGTAATTTTACACGAGGTAGAAACAAACAAAGCGCAATTGTTTGTTTGTTATTTTGGTGGGGGGGGGGGGGGGGGGGGTGCGTAATGATGAAAATAAATAGGCTCTTTTGATTGTAAACCTGTTTATTCCTCCTTTGTACATAGTCCTATCGCACAGCTACAGTTTAAATTTAGTTCTGTATTTCTGCATGCATGCTTGGTCACTCACCAGTAGCTTCTTTGTCGATCTGTTTGTTCATCCGCT